TTATTTACTGGGTTTTTATTTTGCTTATTTCGCTGACTGGAAAATGCGCTAAATTAAAAACCCAGCAAATATCTAAAATTTAGCATAGACACATTATCTACATGATAAAACCGTGAATTTAAAAACCCAGCGATTTTGTCTGAAATCCTAAACCAGTGAAAATTAGTCATTTTACAGTACTACTTTATTTTCAGTCACTTAATAATCTATGTGAAGTCTGCAATAAATGTATATTTTCTGAAAATATTTTTTTTTTATTTATTTTTATATATAAAGTGAATTCATAGGTGCAATATAGCACACTGGAGTCAACAAAGTCATGTACATTAAAAACTACCTACGAACATTAATTTAAAAATAAAACTCAAATGACAGCAGATTAAACAGTAAATCATTATGAGGTTAGAAAGTGTCGACCAATCTTAAGTCATTTTAAGCTTGATTGATCTCAATAGTGGTTGGATTTGAATAAGACGAAAATTAGTATAAACATGGGTTTGCTGACTGCAGTGTAAAATTTTATGAGGCATTTACTGTAAAATACTTTATATTTTGCTGAAGGAATATTAATTCCAAGCAAAAAAAATGTTAAAGTTTTCAAGTTAAGGTATTAGCTACACATATTTCAATGGTTTGGTATACCAGTCTTATCCTATTACACTCTTCAATTGCGTATTTTGAAACATCGCAAAATAAAGCTGCTTAAAATGAAGACAACCATTTCATTTGTAAATATTGTTCTCCCAGAACCATTACATGTATATGTGTTCTTTTCAAATGTTATTGAAGGAAAGCTAATATATTTATTGTACCTGCAAACATTTGTTTCAGGGAATGGCAATTGGCAGCTAACAATTTTTCTTTGTTTTAAGACAAAACCAGGTGCAGGGTGTTCTCTTAAAAAATTTATGATTATCCAGAAATTGTTTTAGTTCAGCTGTAAACAAAGCATTTTGTTGACTGAAACAGCCACTTCTCAAACATCAATCTATACAGCTATCGGTATTTCAGGAACAGAAATTTAAATAAGAATTTTTTTTTTTTTTTCGGAATTAATGTATGAGAATTTACTCTCAAGACATCTCCACATACATTTGCCAGAGTTTTACAAACTAAAAATATACAATACTACAAACCCCAAGGGATTATGGGTAATGTTGTGGACTGTGGAATGAGACGAGGATGTGTACACATGAATGAATTAAAGTCACTAAAAGAATAACAGGGGTCAGTTAAAAAGCCAACCTATGACGACGAGTTTTTCTTTCATTGATAACTATTTAGTCTAGTTTATTGACCCACACTGACTGGTCACTTTCACTGAAAACAGTCTTTATATTAAATCAACTAGCAAAACTCAACATATCAGCTCAAATGATATTTGTTCTATCAACACTTCTCGGGCTCGCTTCTGGTTAGAATACTGTTCAACATCAAAGCAGTGTGGTGTTGGTGGTCTGATAAAAACAAAACTGTACTGAGAATGTACAGAAAGTAAGGAGCGACATAATTTTATCGACAAAGAGATTTAAAGGTCAATAACATCCAGACTTGTATTCCCAGAGCACAAACATCGATAGTCTGATTAGGTTTGTATGCGACTATAAGCGTCTCTTTGTGTTAAATGCTGGAAAGTATACAGCATTATCAATGGCATATAGCATATAATTGATCATACCCGGTATACTGCCTAGCAACAATGGCTAATTAATTATTATTTAAGTAAATTTATCCAAATGTCACATACTACGTGTATGGTCCCTTCAACAGTCAAATTTGAATCATGGGAAGTTAAATAATGCTTTTCACTCATTGGATAGTTTAAATACTGCATGCTTGGGAAATCTCTCAATTTGCGCGATTTCCAGATTATGACATTTTCAACTGACAATAAATTTACATTCATTGATTATTAGTAGGACAATAAGGTGCATCAAGTGACTAAACGATACATTGTAAGAGCCCCTTTCCCAGAGGAGTAAAATCTATTCAGTTTCAGTCTACAAAAATATACTTGAAATATGATTTCTATAAAGTTTTATATTTATTTTAATATTTTTCTATTTCTAGACATTGAAATCTCTGCTGTCTCTCCTTATAATTTTAGTAATAGAAACCTGTTTTGAAGACAGGGCGGACTGAGTAAACAGTCTGCTTAGGGAATCAAACCAACAACCTTCTTGAAGCAAGGTGAATGTGCTAACCACTACACCATCACTCATGTTTCAGTTGACTTTCAGATAAATCTGGAATTGCGATTTTCATACAAATCTTCTCAATTAAATTTTAGGCACAGTTTTTACCTAATTTTTTTTCAAAATTATTTCTGGAAGTTTACTAACAGAATAACTTTTTTTTTCAGAAAACAAAGAAACACTTCTTACCTGTCTAAATGAAATCCGGCAATTTCAGAATTGTGTCTGTCGTAACCAGCGTATGGATTACCATTGATCACATGATCTCTTGAGTACCTATGTATAAAAAAAAAACAACATGTCTTTAAAGTTCAGATTCAATACTACGATACAACCTACATGCCCACATCATTCTCGAATGACTCATCCCTGAAATTCACACCTTCGGTATTTCCCCCACCCATGTCATCAATGACTCTTCCCTAATATTTAAAGACCATATATATATACCAACACTCATTTTAATAAGTCATTGCTAGCCAATTATTACCAATAATTGTTTAATATTGTCTGAACTAAGCAAACAGGTTTTGGTTCACAAAAGCATGACTACATGTACAAGAATATAAATTTTTCGAGGGGAGGGGCTACCCAGAATACATTACAGAACTATTTGCATTGGTATTCTATCTACATATTAAATAGAACATCTTGGCTGAGCTGTTTAATCGATACTCTTCTATTTTACATACAGCATGGTGACAAATATTTCGACCAACAAGTTTAAAATATGTATTGCTTTCATTTGAGCACCCAGGATGGTTTACAAATCTTGTATGCAGCTGGTAATCTGTCAAAATATCTCCGTTATTGAATGACGCTTTAGGACATGATTCCTGCACTTACGTTACTTTGTATCCTTTTTTGTGCTTATCATGCCTACCCGGCAAAAATTTACATTTATGTCGATGTTTTCATGCTCCAGTTGTCATTTTATTTGTTTTCAGCGAGGAGCAGATCAAACAAATTTAATTGGGATTCCATCAATCCACTATTGGCTTGCGAATCATTTTTTTCCTTCCCTGATTAGTTGGTTTGGTTCTTGTAATAAATCAATCAATGCACTGGCAGTCTGTGCATGCTCTGCAGTTGAACAAACTCCGATAGAGACCCTCAACCTGTCTGGATTCTATACTAGTATCGGCCAGCCACGTGGGTGTATCTGTAACGTGTCGATTCCCTCATGGACTCTGTGTGGGCCTGCACGGTTCACAGGCTTCACACAAGCCAGCCAGAACTCCTTACAACTAATCACTTATGTCATCACCAACTATTGGTCCAAAGGTGACATCCAGCACTCAACAGCAGAACCTCCATTCATCACACTTTGAATCGCTACCTTCTCCTCAAATTACTGTTGGGGTTCACCTACAGTAGAGAGGTTGGTTGCAGGATTGATTGACACAAGTCGGGGGGGGGGGGGGTTAGTTCCCCTTCAGTACATCATCATGTCACATGACCAGAGTTTGTTATTTTTTTTCAATAGTATAAAACATTTTATTCCTAAACATAATTTGTCATTTGCATTGTTACAGTGTCAGACTTTTCTGCAGGACAAGGAGACTGTTCCTACATTGTATGCCTATCAAAAA